TTTGCTTTAAATTTGTATCTTGCAAAACGCTTTCCTTCACGTCGATTTACTTATAGAATTCAATAAATTCTAAAGATGAATTCATCATCAGTTTCAGAAGCGCTCTATGCGTTTGAATTGTTAACCAAAATGATAGATTGAGACTTGAGAATTCAGCTACACAATTGTCCTGCAAGCTTGACACAGTCGAAATATTTTTTTTTCTCTCTGGAATACACGAACTGAATAAATGTGTGTTTGCTTTAAAACAGATAGACCATTGCTAAGAATATGTTGTGTCAAGACTCCATAGATTCACCCAATATATGAAATTCTTGTAGTTAAACTTAAGTGCTGTGTGTAAACCGTAAGTTGGGCTAGGGTCCTTATAAAAGATTATTTTAGGTACAGCACTGAACATAGCCAAAGCTATGAAAGAAGGAAACGTACCAGTTGGTTGGCATGTTTATATTCTCGATGCTATAGAATGACGTTGTATTTACGTTTTTTTGTCACGTTCTTATTACTTCTTTTACGTCGGATCATATAATGTGTAAACAGTAAATCGATCAAGTTTTGTTTTTATTATAAACTTAATCTTTGTTGCTTAGATTGTTTGTTTTTTTAAAGATTTAAATTTGCTCCCTTAGAACAGGGCATCACAAGGTTGTGATCTTCTGACCGGAATTAGTCCACGATTCTCACGTTGCCAAGCCACAGACCATGAAACAGGAAGCTGGATAACAGTTTTGCAAAAAAATTAAACATCAATAACATCATTAAATCTTGTCAAGCCTAACTTTATACTATAATAATTGATAGTGTTCTTACATTGAATGACGGTGCATTCATATATACTTGGTAAAATATTTAAGATAAAATAAAAACACTTTAAAAAGGTTAAATTACATCTGGCCCGGGTCCACCGGTCAGCCAAACTTAAAAGTTTTCGAAACACAGCCTTGGACTATTTGGTGCAATTGGGATTATTCCATAACTGCATAAAAGAGAAATTTTAGTCAATTATATTATTACCGTCTTCTTTAGATAGAACCAGAGCTTTCTTTAAGGTGCAAAACATCCCTAGTGTAAAATGTGCATGTTTTAAAATGTAACTTCTTAACTGATAGACATGTTTTTGTTTATCTATTTAGCATCGCTTTCAAAACGAAAAATGAAACCAATCGTCTGAATAAAATGTCTTCTTCTTCTTATATTTGAGGGCCAACGATCAATTTGTTGATCATTCTGGCTCCTGGTTTAAATTCAGATGTTGCCTTCTCTTAGATGGGTTGCCGTCCAAGGCTAGCGAGTCCCATCCACCCGGAGTGCTTTAGATGTTGGCTTTGGTGGGGATTGAACTCAGACCACAGGCTATTTGGTTTGAGACAATTTAGACCGCTTTGCCAACAGAATTTGCCAGTTAGATAAGTAACAATGAATATTTCAGGAAAACTACAGTGCTGAACAAAAGTCATCTTTACAATAATAGGGGAATTGAGGGGATTTCTTTAAGCAGACTGTTGGTTTAAAAAAGTGTACTTTATTAAACTCAATTAAATATATATATATATATATATATATATATATATATATATATATATATATACACATATATATATATATATAAAAAAATGTATATTATTAAAAAAAAATAAATATATATATATATATATATATATATATATATATATATATATATATATACACATATATATATGTATTTCAGATTCAATTAACAAGAGATAAATTATCAAACCTGTGCCGAATGTTAGGTTCGAAATAATTAAAAGTAATTAATCTTATAAAAGAACTAATTAGCATGATAAAAATATAATTACAAAAGCGAGTGTATGTTCCTGGGAAATGTTTCTTAAGACATTCTTTTACTTAAGTTACGTTCTCGTTACACTTGATTCCAATACAATATAATTACAGCAATCGTTGGTCTTTTTGTTATCCATATTTTAAGTGTTACACACTTTGGTCTTAGCACTGTATTATAAATATATTATAAGATTATATCCAATTTTTAAAAAATGTATCTTTCATATAGTTCTATTATAAAATAATTATTTTAAAATTAAGCTTTCCAATGTGCCTGAACTAAAACACAATCCCAATCAATGAATGTGTCATGACAAGTAAGACAATGTCGAAAACGTCATGCTCAAACAAGCATAAGTTTTAATTAAAAACAGGACATGTGTAAAATTAAACAAAATACCTACTTCCGCATTCCGTTGACTAGCCAGGATTAGTGGCACCTTGTATACTACCATCCTCAACGATAAAACTCAAAAGTAGCCTGGAAACCACCCAAAAGCTGAAAAATGCTCCCAGGGGTCGAAATGCGCTTCCCATATTTTTATACGCCACAGACAGTGCCCACAAGAACATTTGAAATGCCCCACCCCAGTTTTCACCGACACAAATTGTCTGAAAGAAGTACTGATTATCATGCACTGTTGAAAGTTGTTCTTAACAGATGGTCTCATGAGAAAATCTCGCCAAGTAAATAGTGATACTTTTATTTCTAAAATTCGAAGGTTTAGGAGTACATGCGAATATAAACCCTTGGATCCAAGGTTTTCTTATAAACTTGACGATCAACACCAGATTTGGCAGTGAAACCTCGAGGAAGTGAACTTTTGGAACGTGTACTACCTTAGGGGTCACGCCTTAGTTTCACACTCTTCCTTGAGTATATCAACGACTTGTCCAGTTTGTTGGTAACAAATGCAGCCATGTATTCGAACGATTTGTTAATATGGAGGAAAGGAAAGGACGCTAATCGAATTAAACATCTACTTTAGCAAGGCTTCTCTGGTATCAGTAGGCGCATGCAGCGATGGCAAATGAAAACTAAAAAAAAAAGATGAACTATTAACTGCTCTTAAACACCCGGACAATTGTCAAGTACGAGATTGTGCATAAGGTGAAAGATGGAGCTCTAAAATGGGACAAACAATCGGTTCACTTGGTGGTAAAACCTGATCAATAGTTACAGATGAAAGAGTTTGTATAATAGCTAAGATCACTAATAGTTTAAAAAGCTTGTGGGCACGAATTAAAGCGCCAATGATAGAGCACTCAAAATTCTTTTCCTGTGTAGCGTCAGGTTGGGGATGGACTTAATGAATGCCCGCCTAATCCTTTGCAAGCTAAACTGCATTGGGAAAATTGGGCACAATTCAGAACCAGGCTGTAAGATTATCTGTGTTGCTTTCAAAACCCTTCCCAAATACATTGTGGAAATCTTAGCCACGCTAGAACCACAAGAAATAAGAAAGAACAAGCAATGTTAACTACAGAGGAAAGGTACCACACACTCAACTTTCGGAAACACAGCTTCCAAAACAAGGATATCTTAATGCTTGGGTAGACTAAAAATGTACTCATTTGTGAAGCAAGTAGCAGAACTTAAAACTCCCAAAAAATAGAGAAATGGTGACCCCCATCTCAGTTAACCTGCCACAAGCTGAGCCCATCAGTGTGAACGACACAGCAGTTATGAAACGCAGCAATGGGTTCAAACCCATTTAACCTGAAGAGCAACGAAAGAGCGGACACACTGACAAGATCAAAGGACTATCAGTACCAGCCAGAAACACCGGTCACTTATTTCGTATTTTTAAACTGGTAGCAGCCACTTAAGAAAAATTTGGTATGGACATTGGGCAGACAGATCGAAGGCCAAAAGTCTATACGCCTAAATATTCCACAGCCTAGCAGAAAGGAGCAATTAATTTTGTCTAGCCATAAAGTCAACATTCAAAATTTGATTTGATGTTTATTAGTTCGTCAGTCGAAATCGATCAAGATCAATTTAATCCTCGCATTCGTTTTTGGTCTCACTATGTCTGTCTCTGTGTAAGGACAAACGTTTCATTGTTTCATCATCACTGTTTTAGTCAATGGACGTAATTAGATTTCATGATATCTTTACCGTATGTGTTCTAAATCTGTTAGCTTTCGTTAGCAGTAAATTAAGTAAAGTTACAGCTTCACCGTAAATAAAAAAAATATTGCATTGATTACAAGAGAATTTTCAACGAACGTAATTTCCTTTTTTTTTCCTGTAAAGATACTATCGAGCTGCTGTACTTTCCTCCATACATTTCCATAAGCCCCGAGAGCATATTTCCATAATGCCGCCAGACCCTATTTCCATACGCCCCCAAAGCCCATTTCCATAGGTCCCCAAACCATATATCCATAAGCCCCAAGAGCATATTTCCATAAGCAGCCAGAGCTTATTTCCATAAGCCACCAGAGCATATTCCCATAAGCCTCCAGAGCCTATTTCCGTAGGCCCCCCAGATTATATTTTCATAAGCCCCCGGAGCCTATTTCCATATGTCTCCAGAGCCTATTTCCATAAGCCCACAGATCTTACTTCCATAAGACCACAGATTCTATTGAAGTCTTTTTCCTCGTAAAAAAACCCAGATAAAGCTGTCATTGATTTGTTACAATCTGTTTTAAAAAATTGGAGGGGATCGAAGGTTGCATCCGTGCTAACTTTTCCTTTCTTGTATCCGACCTGGGAATAATAAATGAGCTCAAACAGAATTGCTATTTAAAAAAAAAAGAAAACGTTGTTAATACTTTTAAAAAAATATGAAAAGATTAAAAAATGATTACAGATTGAATGAAGAAGCATGTCCGTAGGTATCCTATTCCTCATAGACACAGAATTATATAGCATAATGATTTTAACATTTTATTAGCCAAACTCCCTAGGAAAATTTAATAGCAATACACATGATCTGTTTAAATATGTGTTTGTTGAAAATTGAAATGAGTAGTTACACGAGTAATTGGTAACCTCATTTCGAAATTGTAAGGTATCAGTGAAGGTTATGCCTGCTGTCGAAACGTTGAATCTGTTGTGTTGCAAAATCATCCACTCGTGGCAATGAGTGTCTACTCATCCAGCCAAGTCTCCCACTTGATCCCAGAGCAGCACAACCAATCGTAATAGTCTCCAATTCAACAAACACTTCACGGTTCGTTGTAATACATGAATTTATTTAAAAACAATTCCCCCAACCAGGGCTGTAACACAACTACGGATTAACAATCCAATCGGTTCAGCCCAACATAAACATCTTTTCCCTATCAAACATGAAAACAATGATCTACCCATAACAACAGTGATTCTCATACCCTTGACACCTGCATTGATTACATCCTTGTACACACATTTTTATATAATAACATATCTCAACAAACAACTTAAGATCTTTTAATTCCCTATTAATGTATTAAATAGACCTATAATTTAATTTCACTAAAGTGAAAATTTGTATTTTAGTCATTACAGAATATGGCTATTGCTAGTCTAGTATTACCAAAAAAAGTTATGCAAAGGCATGTCTAGCTTTAATGTTGGCAATTTCTACAACTAAGTGTCTAAGAAGGCGATATTATTCTTTGTTTAAGTAGGCCTATATTTTATTTAGATTGGACATCATTTAGTGATAGAATTTTATTCTGTATTTTGTTTTGGTTATTATTTTATTCAAGCTGGAAACTTCCCATGGTCCACGATAATTTTTTTTTTAAAAAGGGAAATTAATTAGACATACACTGGGTATAATTTGAGGTAATTTAGCCATATTTTTTTAAATTTTGACTGTTATAAATTATCTTATGAACAAATTTAAAGGTTAGATTATTTTTATTTTGAATTTAAAACTCACTATACCCCATATAGGCACATTTCTTTATCACAATTTTTATTTTTGTTTCAATTTTACACTTTATCAAAAATATATCAGAGTTTAATTAGTTGATCAAAAGACATGAAGTATTTTAAAAAAATGTAATTTCGTATTGTTACTTCTGCTAACAATGTATCTTAAACTAATAATTTTTCAAGAAAAACCAAATATTAAAAAAGAAAAGTTTACATAATAACTGTATCAAAAATGAGCACCATAATTCTTCAACAAAATTAATGCAGTCCATTATAATTATTATGTGAAAAAATTCAACAATGATAACATATTTTATATAATAAATTTCTAAACCAATTTATTGACAGACTTTTTTTGTGTGTCAGCCTATAAATAGCAACCAACAGCAGTTTATAGGAACGTTAAAAGCTAACAGATCAATGGCAAAATCAATCATAAATGAAGAATTTATATTGTATACAAATATTAGCACCATAATTCAACAAAATTAATGCAGTCCATTATAATTATTATGTGAAAAAAATCAACAGTATAACATATTTTATAAAATAAATTTCTAAAACAATCTATTGACAGAATTTGTTTGTGTGTCAGCCTATAAATAGCAACCAACAGCATTTTAAAGGAACGTTAAATGCTAACAGATCAATGGCAAAATCAAACAAAAATGAAAAAATTTATATTTTACACAAATATTAGGCCCTAAATCACATTTAATGAAGAATTCAAAAACTTTAAAACGTTAAATATGCTCTGTTTCCATTATATATTTCTATCATTCAGTCTGCTGATGCCAGCTTAAAAATTGGCATATACATTTTCAGATCGGTCCTCATTGAAAAAAGAGTCTGCACTAACTTTAGAAACAACAGCTCCATTTTGTTCTACCTTTCCAATGTTTTCATATGTGACAGAGCTGTCAGAATATCTTCCCAGTACATCATAGAGGACTCTGTAATGATCCTGAGAAAATGTTTTTAAAAATATCTAATGAATTAAATTTTAATAACTGGTGTTCAAATGAAAGGGCATTTTTATTTTATACATAATTTTTTTAATGTAATGTTAAATAAATGATTGTGATATCAATGTCACAGGTCTGCATAAATAATTACTGACTTTCTTATTATTGTGGAGGGTTAAATAAATTAATACTTATAATCAATATCAATTAATTTTTTTACCAAATTTGGAATGACCTCTGGCCTAATGGTCTTCACTGTGCCCACAACAAGAGGAACTGTGATGCAGGAATCATGTTCCATTCGATCCAGTAAAAGGGACAATACACAAGCCAGACCACTGTACTTAGCCCCATTGCTTATGTAAGTGAGAGTTTTTTTTAAATCAATAAACTTCATTACCTCTTGAAAAAATTAATTTAAAAAAATAAAATAACTTTGAACAAAAAGGCAATTAATAACTTCGTGATTTCTGTGCACATCACATTATGTATATATATATTTATATATATATATATTTATATATAATATATATATATAATATACATATATATATATATATATATATTTATTAATCTGTAATTACATATTAAAACAAAGTACAGTCCTTAAAAAAAATTGCACAAATTTGTATGAATAATGACCTGCAAGTGTATACAATCCTTCCCTGAGCCAGTGCATTGTAAGACCTAATCTGTCTTAGGAAGGACAGTAGTTTATCAGGATCCAATTCTGTAAACAAGCATTTAAGGTGGACGACTGTTTGGCTCTCATCGTTCTATGATAGAGAAAATACATTCAACTCTCTAATGAGCCTACCTTAGTGATAAAAACTTAAACTTTATTTTTAAATTTAACACATATCATTAATCATTGTTTTATTTTACAATATAAAGTAATATTCTGTGAACATAAAGTAAATTTGTCATGATTGATTCTCTAGGCAAGTAATTATCCATTAATCACGTACAACATATCATGTTTAATCACGTTTAGATTACTGGTTTTTATGTTTACTACCTCTAATGTCAATACGATTATACTAATTGAAGTGACTAGCTTCTCTTAAGAATACTTAATATATTTCACATTTTTTACATGTATGTTTCTTAAAGGAAGTAATCAATACACAGAATCGCCTTCATGTTTCTCAATAGACATAATGATGTGTTGGGGAGTAAGCTATCTTCTCAAATATTTATAAAAAAGTAAGTTAAAACATTAAAAGTGATGTGGAGTTATTGGCTATAAAATAGTGTCTCAATCAATTACTTATTCATTCATTAGAACTGGTGTATATACACAGTATTTAGCCTATCCAAAAACTAACCATATAATTATGTAACAAAAAAAGTTGATAGAAAATATGGTGATCTAATTCTTACATTTGGCGAGAGTGAAAAGAGCGACTTCCGCTTTTCTGTTTCTACCATCAGCACCTGCTCCTCCCACAAAGCTTCCTTAGTCAGGCTCATTGATTTGATCTTGTATGGTGAGCAGTTCAACTTTTGGTTAGCAGCTATAGGTAAATAATTACCAAAGGTCTGCGGACAGAGGTTTTAAAATATTTTGTGTATATTTTGAATGTCATCATTCAGATTCAGTTAACATTTTGGCATGTGCCCTTAAATTTTACGAAGTGACTTCACGTCCGGCGCGCCGGACAAATAGTCCTGGAGATATACGTCCGGTGGGAATGTCACGTGACCGCCGGACGGCAAGTGGAAGAAATTCTTCCGGCGGGCACATGACCGCCCCGCCGGACGACTAGTGGAAGATATATTATAATTCGGCGGTAGACATGACACGTAACAAGTAGTCATCGGCAAAGTAGTTGCATTGCATTTGATATTCCAATATTGTGTACATATATTAGCCAACTGATCCATAGATAATAAATAAATACAGATCATTTTAATATATGCATATGCTCTGAGATATATAAAGTGTTTGACTTTGAATTTTAAACCAGTCGGCCTATATACTAACTAGTAGTACCATTACTACTCCTATACTAGTCTATTTGATTCCGACTCTTCAAATAAAAAAAATTCCTTATCTTGCTTAAACATCTTTTAAAGCTCTAGCTAGAAGCCTAAATTAAAAATATAAACCAAATAAAAGAAGACCAGTAGACTTCAAAAGACCTATGTCAAAAAAGTTGTATTTCAGGATTAGTATTTAGTATTGCATGAGAAGTAGGTTAGGCTGCCACAATATCGGCTCTATATTAAGATGTAGGGTTTATCTCTTTGTGAACTATCAGCCTCCCCGCCTTAAGCTTAATAATGTATCATCCTCACAATTATTTTTTTAGCATTCATATTTTTTATTACTTTAATTGAAATTCTCTCTCCCCCTCAGCATTCCTTCCTTCTAGAAAGCATTATTTTTTAACCCCCACTTTGTTTTAGTAATATACCGAGTATTTTTTTCTTTTATATGTTTGTAAGATACTTAATAATTACTTGGTAGAGAAATAGATTTTAAAGTTAACAATAGACAATAGTTTTGAACCTCATTTGAAAATACATTTTTTGGGCTAGTTAGTATTGACAGAATTAGTGTAGTAATCATATATTTATTCAACTTACGATATCAGTCACCATGGTGTGAACTTCAAAAGCAACAATCAGTGAAACATTGTATTGAGTGACCAAACGCCAGAAGTCTACAACTGTTGTTGGCATCGGAAGCTGGGTGAGGAGGTGTTGGCTTTGTTTCTTAAATCCCTGTAAAACATTCATGAAAATATTTTTTTGGCAAAGCTGTTTTGGCCTTGCATATGCACCTGAAACCTTATGAGTTACAGTTACAGTGACCAGTTTCTTCTGCTACATCTCATCATCTAACTCTATGGTGCCTATTAAATCTATTGATCCCGTGTCATTTATATATAATTTCTGCCTTGATTTGAAACATATTTTTCAAATTATTATTTTAATTTTACCACACACTTTCTTTGACAATTAGCATATGGCATTAACCCTTTCTTTTAATTCGCTCCTTTTTGAAAAAAAATGAGAATATATTATTTAAAAATAAAATAATTCATTTCCAAATGATTTTTAAAAATCTTACTGGCAGGAAAACTGCATTGATATAATCTCTCATGTCTGTAGTCCCACAGGCCAAAACTGGTCTGTATTTTTGCTCTGTTGGATACAAAAAAAAGGAAAAATTATCAAGCAAATCAATTCAAATCAGTAATCTTATTGTGTTTTAACATAATTTAATTGACCTTAAAAGGTATAAAATGAAGTTTAGGAGATCCTAATTTAAATATATGATAAGTATTTCTACTTTTTTTTTCTAGAATGAGTCATTTTTTAAATTATTTTTTGATTAAGGGATTTTTATTTCTCATTCCTAAATTCGAAGAGATGTTTTTGTCCACTTGGATGAGGTAACCCTTGAGGCGGACTAAACAAATGTTTTATCAATTAGGTCATTCATAATTTAATATTTAACTATTTAGCAATTGTAATTTTTTGCTTCTGCACACAAAAATTACTCATTTGATTATAAAACTCTTACAAACCTTTTCATTAATATAAATATTTTTAAATTAAATTTTTTTAAAATTGATTAAATTAGCACAAATTCAACAGTTTTTAAACCAGTAATATGATAATGGAAAAGTACCAGCAGTCCATATTATACTATTTAAGTTTCATTCATTAGGAAATACACAATAACTAGGCCTATATGCTATCATCTGAATACATTTTAACTAACCACTTGGAGTCTCCATTTGATAAAAATACTTACTTGGCGCTATGTTTGAAAACCTATTTTTTACTTTGTCAATGTTTTCCCCACTGTTTTGGTAAACATTGCCATCTTCTCCGGAATATTCTTCTGCTTTATTAAAATCTTCCTTAAAATCATCATTGACATTTGATACGTCCTAGACGGTAAAAGAAAAGAATTAATATACCATTTAAAAAATAGATTTACTGTAAATAAAATCAGTTTTAAGTCGTTATATAGGGGCCTATATATAAATAAAAATATATATGTTTTAACATAAACAACATAAAATATATACATTTAAATTAATTAACGTTAGTAACCAACACTGTAAAAGTTTTGCTCATCTGGTTTTATAACAAATAGATATTCTATGATATAAAAGCGTTGACATGTGCAATGATTATTGTTAATAATAGTTGTTGTTTTTTTTTCAAATATAAAATTCTGAAAAATTTGATTCTCTTTTTCTTAATAATTAAAGTGATATTTGAAATATTAAATTCATCTATGGGATTCAATTTATGTGCACAGACATTTGATAACTAATTAATTAACAATAACTAAAGAAATTAAAGTTTCTATAACAAAAAAAATACTATAAATTGAAATTTTGAAAAACTTTTTAACAAAACTGAAAGATTCTCTTTTTTATTGTTTACTCTAAATTCTGCTTCCATCTTAGTCATTCCACTCATGGATTTCTCATCCAGCTGTTTGATTCTGCCAACAATATCATTTGATGTTACAGTTGTTCCTATACATACAATGGCAATTTGGGCAGCTTTGTGCAAAAACCAGTATTGCTCCTTTTGGAATAAACAAAAATTAAAACATATAATTACAAATTTTAATTTACATCTAGTAAAATATTTGTCCTCAGATACATCATAAAAATGTAAGATGAATCAGAAAGTAATTTACCTTAGCCTAAGATCTAGATTCATGATTATTGAGAAAATTTCTACAACATAGTGAGATTCCAAAATATTATCAATGGATAAATTGAAGTTTTAAAAAATATGAATAACTTATGGTAAAACAATAGATTAATAAACTTTTGACTAGAAAATTTTCCAATATGTTATTTAATTTTTTTTAAATTTCATTAATATGTTTGTCTTCTAATACGGGGTCAGCAAACGTTTTGAATGATAAGCTACTTGTATAAATTATATCTACTAAGCCAATAATTTGTTAATGTTTTATCCCCTTTTAAATTATTACAAGAAAAGAGCTCCACCTCATCCTTTATAAACCCTTTTGCAATTTCTGACTGGCAAATTGCTGACACTGGTTTAATATAATTGTACATTTTATCAAATGTTACCATTGTCTGTATCATCAAGTTTCTGTCCTGCCTCAATTTGACAACTGTTTTCAAGAAGTCTACATATCCTGTCTTCTTTGCTTCTCTAATGATGTTGTGAAGTGCAATAAAAGTCCCTGTACGACCAACTCCAGCACTGAATAACATACATTTTAGTACACTGTACTTTTTATTTATGATTAAATAGATTGCAAAGTTAACATTAACAAATCTGGAGGGTAAATCCTAAGCAATATATAAAGAGCGCTTTAAAATTAATCAAGAAAATCATAACAATTATCAAACAATAATTTTTAAATTTTTATAACTTTTTATTTACGAGCTACACAGTTTAAGAAAATGCACACATCAAAATATAACAATGATTGATTTTGCATAAAACCTATTATCTCAATGAGCATTTTTTAGAAAGTAAGTTAAGGAAAGTTTTGATAACCCACATTTTCTGATTCAAATTATAGACTTAAGCAATATTTTTATAACAAGTCAAATACATTAGTTTTAGAATTTCCTAACATCATTAGATGTTTATTAACATATTCTTTCCAGAATGCTGACTCTATTCTTATAGCTTACCTACAGTGAACAACAATTGGCCTGCTGGTGGGGTGAGCAAAGACCCTCTGTTCAAAGTCAACCAAACCCCAGGGGGATACAGGCACACCCTTGTCTGGCCAAGAGGTGAAGTGGAAATGAGTGAAAGTTTGAACTGCAACAGCTTCTCTAGGCTAGAGTAAACAAAAATATCTGATTTTATATTTTTGTTCTAGTTTATAATATTTTAATTAATTTTTTTTGAGGATATGTAAAATGTGTTAACTCATTAGGATTTTAAAAATGTAATAATATTTGCCTGCAATACCAAAGTATTTTATATTATTTTACTACGGTAAATTCTTGTTTTTTTCATTTGTACACACATATATTAATATATTTTAATATATATATATATATATATATATATATATATATTTTAAAAATTCAAAATTAAAAATGTGTATATTATAACATTAGGATTTTAAAAATGTAATAATATTTGCCTGCAATACCAAAGTATTTTATATTATTTTACTACGGTAAATTCTTGTTTTTTTCATTTGTACACACATATATTAATATATTTTAATATATGTATATATATATATATATATATATATATATTCTAAAAATTCAAAGTTAAGAATGTGTATATTATAAATTAAAATAGTATAGTCATGTGTATAACACTTACCTTTGACATTTCAAGAACTCTTATCACATAGTCTGCAAAAGTTTGTATTGCAATCATTCTCACTTGTATTTCACCAAATTGGGCAGGGCTATCATCAAGCCAATACTTTTCACACTTAACCTTTAAAGAAAATAATTGAAATGTAGATTAGAAAAATTATTTTTTAATGATAAAGTAAATTGATAAGTGCAGATCATGAAATTCAATGCAATTTGATCATACTATGATAATTATTTATTAATTTTCATTTATAAGAATAAATTTGATATTTTTTAGAAATAACAGGAAATAAATTCCACTATTAATCTTACCATTCCTTCTTCAATGAGGTTTGTCAACATTACAACTTTATCCACTTGTTGTTCCCACAACATTCTGACAAAATCATTGATCATGATTTTATTAGGTCCTGCAAAAAAGTCAAAATCAGAAAAAAGCAAATTTTGTTTAAATTGAAAAAAGAGGAAATTTCAAAACATTTTTATTTGATGTAGGCTAAAAAACAAACATAAAAAAATATATTCTTACCCTGAGAAGCTATGAATTTATCATCTTTGTTGAACCCCTTTAGAAAATAAAGTTTAATGGTAATTAAAAAAACGATGACATTTAAATGTATGCTTAAATAGTTCATTTTATTTTAATGTTTCTCTATTTGGCTAATTATTTTACAAATATTCTTTATGTACTTTAAGTTAACATTATTTTAAAGAGCAGAATATTCTAAGATTTGCATTTCTCTCCTATTTAAATATCATAATGATCTTTAGTGTCTAAATAATAAATGTATTTCAAGTATTAAGATGGCTACAAAATTTAAGGTTTTGAAGATATTATTCATGTGTACACAATGTTATCACAGCAAATAGTTTTACTGTATTAACGTGACTCCCTTAAAGCATTAGACTTACAGAGAAAGAAAGACATTTAAAAAATGTATTATGATAGTTCATATCCATACAAAATAATATATTATTTCGGTTTATCAAAAGTAATTGTTAAGCCATATGAAATTTTTATAATTGATCTTAAATGTTACCTCAATGTAACAAGCATTGATATAGTCTTCTTCTTTCTTTAATGTGTTTATCTCCAAATGGACTCGAGAATGGTCATCTAAAAATCAGATTTAGGATTATTATTTGAAAATAAAGTAAGTCAAATTAAGTTTTTAGAATGAAAAAAACTTCTTACATCATGGTATATTTTTTCCAATAAATGTAATTATGTTTATTAATTTCAATTTGTTTTTTTTTTTGTGTGCAGTTCTCGCCTGTTTTTTGTTTTTTTTCACAATAACTGATGCGTATGATTAGGATGTGTAAAGAAATAATGTAGTCTAAGATTTTTTAAAATTCATTGAAAAAGAACTTGCTGAAAAACGAAAGTTACGAAAATATTAATTTTATAATACTATTTAATTTCCATTAAAAAAAATCAATTATTTATTCTTGAATTCTTTCAGTAATCAAAGTATGAGAAGCCCCTTATAATTACAATGAATAAGCAAATTCATTCCTTGCGTGAGATTGTATAGGCCTAGTTTTCTTGTTTAGGCATATCAATTCACTCTCTAGGTGGAATCGCAAGGCGTTTATTTTGTTGTTGGGATAAGCTTTTGTACCTTTCATTATATTTAATTTTTTTAACATACATTGCAATTTTAAAAAAAAATATATTTTTAAAAATTTGAATAATCTTTTTTGAAATTGCACACATATTATGTTAATTAGAAGTATAAAAATATGACATTAAATGATCAAAGTTCTGTCCTAGGTCTAGTATATCTAATTATACTTACATGGGACTATATTCTTATAACGATTTTTATGTTTGTTTGAAGAATTTGTCCCAACCTCTGTTGTAACATTTAAGGGTGCTGGAATATTCTGTAAAAATCAAGATTTATGTTCCAAATAGATAAAGTATATAATTTTTCTTTCCCTTTTTTAACTAAAAATATAAGATTATTAGTATAAAATAGGCATACAGGTAGATGTACTCTACTTGTGCAGTGTCTGATAATGACATAGAATAAACTTTCTCACTATAATTAATATATACACTGACTTTCCAGTCACAATGTTCTCTTCTGAATATTTGTAGGACCATTTAGGGGCGTCTATCAACCCTCCCAACCCCGATAGGCAGAAATCTCACCCCTCATTTTCTGGCCTTTGGTCAATTCTGTGTGTCATTCTTCATGGAATTTTAATTCGAGTGTTCAATATGTGTATTATTAGCAAAACAAAATATAACAGCTAAAAAAATTGTAACAGCCTTGCTGACGATTTTGTAATGATTTTATAATGATAAATAACGATGACATTTTTGTTAATGGCTTAATGATTTGTCACATTTTTTTAGAGAATCTAATTATCAAATCTATTGATTATTTAAAAAAAAATGAATGCTAGTAGGCCTATATTTTTTCTTCTTTTTGTTTTAGTTTTTTAAATTTATATGTGGGTTTGGTTGCTGTTTGCATGTGCTGTAAAATATTTACATTCCAAATGAATAAACTGAATAGTATAATTAAATTGAATATTGTCAACATCAATGGCTTTGGTATCGTTTTTCTTTGTATACTTGCTTTCAGTCATTTGTCACGTATAGTTTAACAAACGAGCCACATCTTAAAACAGACATGATTTTAACATCATATCATTGTACGTAACAGATGCTTTGAGACATTCAAAGGCCGGATGGAGTCGGAGGAGCAGTTGCTTTCAACCTGAGTTGACTCCAAATTCACCGAGGGGGGAGCGTGGATTTAGAAGCAACTGAAATTGGAATCTGCTGATGCCCCATCTCATTTCCTAGATGATCTTGTGACTACCAACAAAGTACACAACCTCATAATTATTATTACGATTTCCTTAATATTCAATTAATGTTTTCTTCCTTGTATTTATATTTGATTACTTCATGTTATCACTATTTAGTTAAATATTCATGTACTTCATTGTTAATAAATAAAAAATAAATAACATGATATTTGAAAACTACTACCTCAAATTGCTGTTGAAAATATTTCTTGTTTTGAGCATGCATAAATGTGTTCAGGTCATTTACGGCAATTGATGTTATTTGAACATTGTTGTAAATCCCTTCATTTCTTGAAAGCCTTGTGTTTTCAATTTGAGGATTCGACTCTAAGATTTTAACAATAAATTTCAAATAAGAAAATTAACCATATAGATTATAAGAAACAAATGTCATTCTTTAAAAACGCTCGTTATTTATGTACATAATTTTATACTCATATATATATATATATATATATATATATAATCCGTCAGCCAAAACCGACTATGACAACCTTAATCCTCGTACATTCGTGACTGTGGGTGCGCAGATGGCTTATTGCGCCGAGTCTGGCACAAAATGTTCCTGTGAAGTAAGTGTAGGGGATGGATCTGACATCACGAGGAGCAGAGTTAACCCGGGTATTTCTGGCAAGTCTTTTGTTCTCTTCCTCCTCGATTTTGTTGACGTCATGTTTTTTGAGTTTTTGTGTACACTGAGACGCCACGATGATGATTTGCCGATTATTCCCATGTGTCCGTGTTTATATCGAACGCTTTTTAAGTGAGACTTTAAGGGTGTTTTTGTAACGTTTCCCCTTTCCACCAGAAATTCGCCTTGCATGCTCGAGCTCTTCACATAATAAGCAGTCGTCTGAATTTCACCCAATATGTACCACCAAATGAAAGTGCTTAAGTTTCTAGAAAAAATCTGCCTGGTCGGGTAGGTCGGTGTCTGGGACTCTGCCCTGCCATTTGATATTTAGGATTGTCCTGAGACTTGTCTTATTATGAAAGTGGTTCAATATTTTGCTTCATGTCGTTAGTTCAACTACGTTTCACTAGCATAAGCTGCTTTCATTCAACAATGACCAGCCCAGCTAATATAAAGGCACAATTCTAATAGGAAATTAATTTTGTCATAGCTGGGTTTCCAAGACAGGACACGCATATATTTCTTGGTTACTTTTATGCTCGATAGGGTCGCGACCTTATCGCTTGCGGTGGGGTTCTGGGAAAGTATGGAGTGGGTCAATACAACAGTAACGGTCTTTTTTTGCACCAAACGTGTTCAGAGCATTAAATGTTGATAGCTAATACGATATATTGTCTTCCAACACGTAAAAGGACATCCCGGTTGCACGCTACTTTCAAAAATAATTATCTAATCGATTAGGTTATCAGGAAAAATAGGACCGTCGAGACGTGTGTAGACTCTTATTATACTCATACTTACAATAATAATGTCTGATGTATGTGACTTGGATTTTGTAAAACTGTATAAATGAGCTCACAAATTTTAAATTAATAAAAAAAGAAGAAACGGCTTCAACCGCCAGGTACCCCTAATTTGGATTTTATATTAAATCATAATATTTAAAAATCGCCTATTTTGGGTACAAATTTAAGATAAATGCTAATTATATAAAATTGATAACACACATTTTCAATGGTCTTTGATAATTTAAATTACCTGAGTGATTGTCCTCAAGTTCATTAACATTAATTTGATAAAACTGTGATAATCTTTGATCTCCTTCTGGGTTGTGCTTAGATTTGTTTTGGGCTGCATGTCTCCTGTTGTAATATAAATATAAATATTTATATATATATATATATATATTATAATAGAAAGAGGAAATAATAAATTAAATTTGAAATGCTGCTGTCTAGGGCACTGTTTTTCAAAATATTTAGTGCTAATGACCGGACAGTCATTTGTCCAGCAATCTTCCATTTATTGACTAATTATTGTTTCTTATAGCCTTCATTTAACTCTTTGCGTTACAGGTGAATGAAGCATAATAACTTAAAAGTCTAGTGCCGATCCGTGGATTATAATTTGTAGAATCACTGCAAGCGTTCGCACAGCGTTCAGTGTTTTTAGCTAAATTATGCACTTATCTTTGATGTGTTAAACAATCACTCTTTTGAAAAGAAAAGTAATACCAATTTTTAAAAAAAAATTAGGTGCACAGTAACCTACTACCAAGATTACATTATTATTACCTCCAAAGAATGACACCAGCAATGATTACTGCACAGATAATAATAGCGGCAATGATCGGTCCAACAATGGCTCCTACAGGTGGGTCGTTATTTTGTTGCGCAACAATTACTGCAGGATTGGAAAAATAAATGTATTATCTAAAATATTTAAAGATCCATAAAGAAATCAATTTTAAAATAAATAAATAAATAAATAAATGCATTACGAAATTTACTAGGCAAGGTCAAGAGCCAAGACACTTCATAATTTAAACAAACAAAAGCAAACACATATGCATTTGATGAAATATAATTTTCAATGCATTGTTTAAAAATATAATTTTTATAGATAGCCCAAAAGGATTATTTATAAAATCACTTTGTGTTTAATGATTATTAATTTTATTATTATTATATTTTAGTGTGTGTGTGGGGGAGGGAGGCGGCTCATTTAAATTAAACATCATGTTATTAATTAAAATTAATACGATATGTAAATGGACACAAACTCTTCTCAACTATTTATAACGAGCTAACATTGACATAAAAAAAAGTTATTCATGGTTCTTTTAAATAATTCTTTACAAGTTACGGTGGTTTTCTAAATGGTTCACCACAGATCAAACAAAGCCTGCCATTATTTAAGATGCTTTTGACTGTACTATTCCAAAAGTGTATAAGAGAAGAGAGCGTTTAAGCCAGCCGGTTTCAGTATGTTGGAATTTCTGGCTCACCTGATGTTCGTAAAATGTATATTTAAAACGTACGTTTTAAGCTGAACCAACCTTGTTCACATTTCGGAGGCAAATACCCGGCGTTGCAGCCATTGTGGCATTCACTTGTTTGTCCATTACAAGTTTTAGTTGAGCAGTGAGAGCTACAAGCCACGGTGCAGTTCAAACCCCAAAAGCCGTCATAGCAATCTAAATAAAATATATATTTTTTTAAAATAAAGTTTATTAGGAATTCCCCCATAATATTAATAAAACAAATAAAAATACAATCAGTTATATTTACTCTTTATAGCATATAGATTATTATTAAAAAAAATATGGGTACTAATGGAGAACGATTTGAGTTTATGATTGTTAAGGATCCAATGCACACATGTGATTTGTGCCACAGTCTATGTATAAATGATAGTGTGAGTGCTGAAGTTTACGG